GAATTTTGAAAATTGAGAAACATTTTGTCTCAGAGCGGGGGATTGTACACGCCTTATACGCCCTCTTTCTTTATCTTTTTCTTCTAAAAAAAAAAAAAAAAAAAAAAAAAAATTCCGCCACAAAATATAGTTCCTCGCTGAATGTTTTCGGCGTGGAATTTAATCATGGGGTCTTAATTGAATATTCCAAATTTATTGTAAGAACTAAAACATAATGTAGAATTTTTTAAATAGAGGCCAAGACAAAAATCTGCTGAAAAGCTGAGGAGCGAACCTTGTTAATGGCGTGTGGTAGCAAGGACCAATTTAAGTAATGTTAAATAAATTCAACAATTAAAAATATACATATCGCTCAGACAGTACAGTTTTTTTTTCAAAATGAAATTTTCGATATAATACACCTCTAGGAAGTCGTAACATTGGTTTGTCTGCATATTTTGATATCCATGAAGATGACGACGAAATAAACGTATGCTAAGCATTTATTTTAATTATTTTAATTTAATTATCCAGGTATAGTTAACATTGTTTGGATAGTTTTCCGGGTATCCAGGAGATGTTAGATTTCTGTCTTGGTTGTCTTCTATGGTTTCTAGCAATGTAAATGATGATTACAAAAAATGAAAATTATTTATATTATTTCATTTCAAAGGATCATATATTATTTCATTTCAAAGGATCAGAAATCAAATTAATTTTATCTTTATCGATTAAAAAAATATAAAATTTGAGCATATATACTTTAAAAAAGAAATCACTTACCAATTAATTGAAATACAAGTTAATGTCGTGAATGTCAAAATTGAATTTGCATACATTTTTGAAGAAACAATACGCAAGAAATCCAGCATCCTATAAGAAGAGAAGATCATGTATTATATCGTGTAAGGTATTATTTAGGGAAAGGGATTTTTTTCACTTGATCAAGAATGTGAAAAGCATTTAACGTATAATGTATTGTAAATGTATTATAAATATTATGATGTTATTGACTTGATTTATTTAGCAAGACTTTTATTTTTCAAATCCGTAAGATTGCAAGTATCAATACTAGTATCCACCGAATTTCTGCATTATTATCATGTTTGTTGCAGTGTATACCGGTATTTCATATTCGATATATAGAAACTTTTTCTTACCCTAAAGATATATCGAGATCTATCCATCAAGAAAAAAAAGGATCCCGAAACGTTTGTGATCTTCTGGCTCAAAGTTTTGGTTCATGCAATCCGAGTCATGAATTGGGGAAAAAATTATTAAAACCGGGTAGATAACTTCAATAACAAATAATTCAATCCAGCGTTTATTGCAATGATCGAGGACACATAACTCTTTTGCAACAGATCTTACTTTGATAAAAAATATACTACATGTATTTACATTTAGAGTTTATACATAAATCTACTTAGCATTTTCAATTAAAATAGCATAAAAACTCGTCATCAAGAAAAAACAATCATTTGCAGTGAAGCAATTTGTAATTGCTTCACAGTTTGCAAATTTCAGCATCAAATTTCCTTCTAAAATGTTCATTGAGAACATCAACGGGTAAATTCTTTCATGCAAAAAATGGAATCAACATTTTAAGATAAAGTCCATCACTGTATCACTTTACTTGATAGAAAAAAGGAATTCATTCGAATTATTAAAAGGAAAATGTAATTTACTAAAAAAAAAAGGTGTTTAAATACCTTGAAAATTTCTGTCATTTGTTTGTATTGTTGGTGTTTTAGGTAGTGGGAGTATAAATGTTGTTGAAACTGTCCATGTTGTTGTCTCCGATGTTACTGACGTTGTTGTCATCGGAGTTGCTCCCGCGTCTATTGTAGTGCCTTGTAAAAATGTTGCTACAAAAATTATTTGTAATACACTTTTGGAAAGAACTCATGTAAATGTACGTATTTGCAATTTGGAAATTGTAAACCCTTGTGTTACTTTATTACAATGTAATGATATTGATGTCATAAAAAGTATCAAGATGGACGGGACTGTTTCAGTATCTTTTGGAACAATTATTCTTCCCTCCCTCGAAAAACAACACTAAGATTTCTTGAAAATTTCAGCATCAAGTTTTTTGTTAAAAAATGTTTAGTTAGGTCAAATTTCAAGCAAAACGTTCAATCAAAAAAAGTACATCATAGTATCATTTAAGGGGGCCGACTATAGTTTCCATTGCGCAATATTTCGCGCATCATAGTAAAATGAAGCGTATTTACTGTTTTGATACAACTTTTTTCGCTTAATTATTAAAATTAAACAAAATTAAGAAATTATAGGCATAGAAATGTAATTACAATTTGATATAACTGATTTTAACCGATTTTGCAATTGATAGGGGTAGATTGACGTCGTTGCAATGTGTTTTTGACGTTATGATAATCTGTATCTTACGAAAGCCGGATAGGCTCATTTCTTAGAAGATAAAAATTTTTTTAACTCGTTATAACGAGTTAATTATCTCGTTATAACGAGTTAGTATCTCGTTATAACGAGTTAATTACCTCGTTATAACGAGATAATTATCTCGTTATAACGACTTAGTTTTATCTCGTTATAACGAATTACTTATCTCGTTATAACGAGTTAGTTATCTCGTTATAACGAGTTAATATCTCGTTATAACGAGTTAATTAACGCGTTAAAACGATTTAGTTATCTCGTTATAACGATTAAGTTATCTCGTTATAACGAGTTAATTATCTCGTTATAACGAGTTAATTATCTCGTTATAACGAGTTAATTATCTCGTTATAACGAGTTAATTATCTCGTTATAACGAGTTAATTATCTCGTTATAACGACTTAGTTATTTCGTTATAACGAATTAGTTATCTCGTTATAACGAGTTAGTTATCTCGTTATAACGATTTAATTATCTCGTTATAACGAGTTAGTTATCTCGTTATAACGAGTTAATTAACTCGTAATAACGAGATAATTAACTCGTTATAACGAGTTAGTGATCTCGTTATAACGAGTTAATTATATCGTTATAACGAGTTAGTTATGAATTAAGAATGGCTGTAGTTTTAATGCCATTGATGTTTAGTTGATAATTATCAGTCATACTTCACTTCAATATTGATAAAAAGTTGCAATTTTAATTTGCGATATGGTTTAAATAATATTCATCCTGAACTATCTTGCTGTCAATAATCACAATTTGATAAGTATAGCAATCTTTATTTACACATTTATACGTGAACTTCTCCAAGGACACAATATAAAAAGAATCTATTACCAAATGTACTTGCTTCAAAGTTTGGCAATTTATTTATGACAACTTTCTCCGATAAAAGACACTAATTTTTCTGATATGTTTGGATGACTTATTAGCTTTCATAACCAATGTCTTAGTACCGAAATTAATACATTATAATAGGAAGCTAACGCAGGCCTTAATGCAACATATATCATATACACTTACAGTGTGATATATATATTATTTTGAGAGTCAGAAATGTTTTGAAGAAGGGGGATATGGAGACATCAGCAATGAGGCCATGGGCGTAAAATTCGAGGGCTACTGCTCACTCATAACACAACATCAAGAGGCAGTCATAAGTTTCCGTATACATGTATATGTATTTGTCTTCGGTCTTTTAAGTATACAATACAAATCAACTGCATCGTTTATACATAAACAGAATACAATCACAGGCACAACCCCTCGAAAAAAAAAATAAACTAGTTTGCTGTTTTTCAATAAAAATCTTTATCATACACACTATAAACAAACTTGATCAAATTGGTTTTATATGTTATACTACTATACTTCCTATCACTTAGATATATCAACTTTAGATCAGTTTTCAACTCGTCATAACGAGAAAATTAACTCGTTATAACGAGAAAAATTAACTCGTTATAACGAGTTAATTTTCTCGTTATAACGAGATAATTAACTCGTTATAACGAGATAACTAACTCGTTATAACGAGATAACTAAGTCGTTATAACGAGATACTAATTCGTTATAACGAGATAATTAACTCGTTATAACGAGATAACTAAGTCGTTATAACGAGATAATTAACTCGTTATAACGAGATAATTAACTCGTTATAACGAGATAACTAAGTCGTTATAACGAGATACTAACTCGTTATAACGAGATAATTAACTCGTTATAACGAGATAATTAACTCGTTATAACGAGTTAATTTTTTTTTTATCTTCTCAGAAATGAGCCTATCCGGCTTTCGTAGTATCTCCTAAAGAAAGGAGTAATAAAAATATTATTAAAGAAAAAGTAATAAACATACGCTCTTGAAATTTAAAACATAGGAATTTGAGAATATCTCCATTATTTTTATTATGTTTTTATGTGAATCCATTGTGTACGTCATATTTTGTAATACTCTATAATAATAGTAAAATTTGCTAATTTTTTGCATTTTGAGATGCCCCCTCTGGTAACAAGACGGTAGAATTTTGTGTTTCTTCCATATATTGTATAATATAGTATTACTCATCAAATATTATAGTTTGAACAAAATGTCTATTGTAGAATTTGTATAAGAGCAAGAGCCATGTTGGGCCTTATTTAGCCCTGAGAATTTCCGAAAAAACAAAACCGCTCAGTTTAGGCTGCAAATGCAGTATTTTTCACTTGAAGTGTTGGTGATCACGTATCTATTAATTGTGACGTAATTTCCCATCTAGTCCATGCATTATGACGTCATAAAATGCGTCATTTTCCTCATATCCTGTAAATTCCTTTGAAAATGACCTAAAGTTGAAGCATTTCTTCAATATTTCATATAGAGCACAACCTCTGATCCAAAATATGCAAATACGTAATGAAAGCTCTGTTTCTGAAGATCAAAAAACGTGTTTTACTTTTTGGGATCGTGGGCTGTGCTCATATTCTAATTCTTTGCTGAAGGTAGTCAAATACGCCTGTTTTCTGCAAATTTCAAGAATACTGCAATTTCTCAAACCTGTTTTCAAATATCTGGTTTTTAAAAACGAAATTTTATTATAGAAAATGAAAGCGCCAATAGTCTACTTTATTTTGATATATGAAGTGGGAAAGTGGGTGATAGTTAATTAATTGATATAAGTACAGGGCCATTTTATGCATAAGATGGCTCTTGCTCTTTGCTTTAAAGTGCTAAAAATTGCATTTTTCCAAAGAATCCTATAGTAAATGTATCTGTATTTTGAGACGGTCCCTCAAAATACCTGGACTGTAGATTTCCCCCAAACTATGTATGTACACTGAAGTTAATGTAAGTTATATATGGTATAAAAATGAAGAGTTTCGCTATTGTAGTTTTCACACAATAAAACTATAGTCGGCCCCCTTAACTTGATAGAAAAGTAATTAATTATGTTCCCCAAACGAAGTTGGGGAACATATTGTTTTTACTCTGTTTCTTATTATTATTATGTTCCCCAAACGAAGTTGGGGAACATATTGTTTTTACTCTGTTTCTTATTATTATTATTTTTCTTCTTCTTCTTCTTCCTGGGTACTTTTTTGTCCGGGAATGATCTCGCAAACTATACATCCGACCAAGGTGAAATGTTTTTAGGGTCAGTAGACATGTTATGTAGATTTGCGGAATGAAGGTCATTTTGCGCGCACGTGCTTGCAAGAGCGTGCACGTGCAACATGTGAAATGGCCGATTTAATTGATATAGGCGTAACTTTTTAAATTTTTGATGAAATGCTTTGAAACTTATAATATAAGGATATATTAGTAGCATAGACAATATGACATGGTCAAAATAGCAAGATCTCACGTGCATGCACGTGCATTTTGCTCTGATTGGCTGAAACTAAAGTCTCAATATCTTTCTTGTTTTTTGATGAAATCCTTAGAAATTTTGAAAATAGCCATGCATTAGGATATCCTACAACATGATATATAACAATTTTCATGAAAACACGTGCATGCACGTGCGCTGCAATCTGATTGGCTTAAACTTTAAATAACTATAACTCCCTTAATTTTCAACCAAACAGGATGAGATTTGGAACATAGATAGATATATTTGACTACAACAAAAAAATATGGTCACCATGCACATACATACACGTGCATGTACTTGCGCTGCAATCTGATTGGTTGAAACTTTAAACAACTATAACTCCCTTGGTTTTCAACCAAACGGGATGGGATTTAGAATAAAGATAGATGTAACGGACATCTACAAGAAGGTATGGTCATTATGCTCATGCATGCACGTGCGAGCACGTACGCGCACGTGAAATGAGCAAAATAAAAAACACTTGAATGAGCTAACTTTTTAAAACTTTTGGATTAAATACTTTAATGTTTAGTATATTAAAATATATAGATTGTGTAGACAAGATGATATGGTCATTACGCACATGCATTCACATGCGCACGCGTGCAATGCTAAAATTTGAATGAACTTTCTACACTTCTTAATAAACGTTGTTAAAGTTTCAAAGGCATCGAGTTTGTCTTATTTTATGAAGCACCCAGGGAATATGGCACCAAAAGGGAGTTGGGGAGCGTTTGGGGAACATCTGTAACGGTCCCCGTTACAATTAGCACTAGTTATTATTATTTTTCTTCTTCTTCTTCCTGGAACTTTTTTGTCCGGGAATGATCTTGTAAACTGTTCGTCCGATGTAGGTGAAACCTTTTTAGGGTTAGTAGACATGTTATGTAGATTTGCGGAATCAAGGTCATTTTGCGCGCACGTGCTTGCAAGAGCGTGCACGTGCAACACGTGAAATGACCAATATAATAGATATAGCCACAACTGTTCTATTTTTAGATGAAATGCTTTGAAACTCATAATGTGAGGATATATTAGTAGTATAGACATGACGACATGGTGAAAATAGCAAGATCTCACGCGCATGCACGTGCACTTCGCTCTGATTGGCTGCAACTAAAGTCTCAATATCTTTCTTGTTTTTTGACGAAATCCTTTGAAATTTTGAACATAGCCATGCATTAGGATATCCTACAACATGAAATAAAGCAATTATCATGAAAACACGTGCATGCATGTGCGCTGCAATCTGATTGGCTAAAACTTTAAACAGCTATAACTCCCTTGGTTTTCAACCAAACAGGATGGGATTTGGAACATAGATAGATATAATGGACTTCTACAAGTAGGTATGGTCACCATGCACATGCATACACATGCGTGTACATGTGCTGCAATCTGATTGGCTGAAACTTTAAACAGCTATAACTCCCTTAGTTTTCACCCAAACGGGGTGGAATTTAGAACATAGATAGATGTAATGGACTTCTACAAGAAGGTATGGTCACCATGCTCATGTATACACTTGCGTGCACGTGAAATGAGTAAAATCAAACATATACTTGAATGAGCGTATTTTTTAAATAAATTTGGATTAAATACTTTAATATTCAGTGTATTAAAAATATAGATTATGTAGACAAGATGATATGGTCATGATGCAAATGCATTCACATGTGCACGCATGCAATGCTAAAGTTTAAATTATTTTTGTACACTTCTTTGTAAATGTTGTTAAAATCTCAGATGCATAGAGTTTGTCTTATTTAATGAAGCTTACAGGGAATATGGTACCAAAATGTAGTTGGGGAGCGTTTGGGGAACATCTGTAACGGTCCCCGTTACAATTAGCACTAGTTATAATGGGTTTTTTTTTGTTTGTTTGTTTAAGGATTATAAGAAAATTGTAGTTTGCGTTCCCTTTACCAGGAAATAATGGAAAACATGTTGGATTTTGGCACAATTTATTTGTAAAGAAATGTGTTGTATACAGAAATATGTAGGGAATTAAATAGTATTAGGAAATTACGCATTAGCATAAGGGTTCTATTATCTTGATGCTAAGCAATTTTGAATTCTTGAAATTGTAAAGTTGATATTCATTTTTCTTCTTGTCGTTTGACTACTTCTGGTAGCATTACTTTCGTTGATCAAGTTCTGATACTGCAGAGGTAGTAATATCAGGAAAGGATGGTTGGTATTATCAGTACTAAAACAGAGAGAAAAGAAAGCATTCTAATCGGCATGCAAAGGGTTAAAACGAATCAGCATTGAGTCGACCATAAATTAGTTCCCTGCAATTTAAGTCTTAGACGGACAATATTGGAATTGCAATAAGTTGTACTCGTTTTACTATTATTATGCGCCCGAATTTATTCGAGGCGTATATTGTTTTTGTCCTTTCTATTTGTCTGTTTATCTGTTTGTCTGTCTGTTGTCAACTTTAACCTTCGCCATAACTTTTGAACCGTGAGAGATAGAGACTTAATATTTGGTATGCATACTCCACTAATACTGCAGAGGTAGTAATATCAGGAAAGGATGGTTGGTATTATCAGTACTAAAACAGAGAGAAAAGAAAGCATTCTAATCGGCATGCAAAGGGTTAAAACGAATCAGCATTGAGTCGACCATAAATTAGTTCCCTGCAATTTAAGTCTTAGACGGACAATATTGGAATTGCAATAAGTTGTACTCGTTTTACTATTATTATGCGCCCGAATTTATTCAGGGCGTATATTGTTTTTGTCCTGTCTGTCTGTTTGTCTGTTTATCTGTTTGTCTGTTTATCTGTTTGTCTGTCTGTTTGTCTGATTATCTGTCTGTTGTCAACTTTAACCTTCGCCATAACTTTTGAACCGTGAGAGATAGAGACTTAATATTTGGTATGCATACTCCACTAATTAAGCACTTTCAACTGACACCAAGGTCAATGACCTTGTGACCTTGACTGTGACCTACTTGCTGAAAATAGCTTTTTCGAACTTTCGCCATAACTTTTAAACCATATGAGATAGAGACTTCTTATTTTGTATGCACATTCCACTAATTAAGTTCTTTCAAATGACACCAAGGACAATGATCATGTGACTTTGAATATGACCTATTTGCTAAAAATTGCTTTTTAGAACTTTGTTGCCGCCGGGCGCATAGTGGTTCACAAAAACATCTTGTTTTTTGCTATATTATTACAATAGAACTTGATCACATGATCAAGTAGTATTGTGTTACTATTTAATTATAAATTCTGAAATGAGTTTCGAACTGAGGTATCTTTAAATAGAAATAATCCTTATTAAAACAATAATAATGTAAATTTTACATAGCTGACATTATACTTAACTGATGTTTTTGAAGAAGAAAAAACCCAGATTATTTAGTTCTTAAGTATTGTAATATATTGTGATGTTTTGTAAAAATTGATAAGGGGTAACACTGCTTTGAATATTTATCTATTTTATGTTAAACAAATTTGAAATATTTTTCCTAAATTGATTAAAATACCGGGTTTAATAAAACAAAATGCAGTCTTAGTAAAAAGCAAATTCCCCCGAAATACTCTATCGGTATAAATGTAATACTTAAGACATGACTCCATGAAAAATATGCAGGCGTGAAGCGTAGTAGTTTATGCACCTCATGAATTCTCAAAAAATAAATTCATTTCTTATATTTACATTATTTTTCTGATGACTTGCCACATATTTTTGTCATTTAACAATAAATTTTTAAAAATGCACTATTTCTTAACTCCAATTACATTCCTACTCATAACTTGGTAGTTCATGAGAACATAACCTTTTATCTAATTTGCAAAGAATCATAAGGAAATATATTGGGAAATATTTATGGATTGGCCGAATGAAAGAACTAAGTTTGTTATATTATTTTTAAGAGAGTCTGACAGGGCAAAATTTGAAAATCATAAAATCATAAGTTAAATTTTCATACATACAGTGATAGAAATCAAATTTTAGTTACATGTTAAATGTCATTTTATTTACAATAATTTTCTATTATTTTTCTCTATGATAACTTTGAAAGTTAGGTGAGTTGAGTTCTTGATAAATCAACCGGAATGTAAATTTCGCCACGCGAAAGGTCTGGAGCTCAGTAGGCCTAATATCCATGTAAATCTCGCGCGGTTGTCTTTGTGTCTAACGTTAGTGGGCGGGAACTATTGAAATTGACATAGGGGCCTGTGTAATTTAAATCTTTAAATTTCTTTATTTACAGTTTTATTTCACAATTAAATGTTATTTTGTAATTTTAAGAAATCACTGTCTAGTTTGTTGGATCAACGACAGTTGGAAACGTGTGATATATGCATAACAGACATCGCCCGTTTTGCAAATTATCACACGTTTCCAATTATTGTTGATGCCCTGACATACCCAACAAACTCTAGTAGACATTTTCATTAAATATAGCTACCTCTCAGAAAAGCACACTGACCTCGAACTTCGTGCTCGTTCGAGATTTTTATTCTTCTAGTCGATATATTTATGGATCGATCTCATGAAAGAGCTATATTTGTATAATATCCGTCCACTGCAAAATTTTTACAACGTATTATATTACAAACCATAGCAAACTTTCATACTTATCTGTGTTTTGCTCCTTGTTGTCACAAGTGGCCTTGTTTTTATGGACGACACTGTTAAAAGTATAAAGGTATACAATTATATGCTCTTTAACTTAAAAAAAATGTGTAATTAGGAAAAAAGACCGTTTAAGGTAGTCCGATCCTCAGGTTCATAAAATTAACAGTTAAGTAATTGAAAATACTCATAAAAATATCCATGAATCCACAAAGTAATGCAAATTTATGTTTTAAGTTAAACATTAAAGTTAATCATGTTATATAGGGAAAATTGTCAAATCTCCTATATTCATGCAGAAAAGCGAATAGGAATACCAGTTATACATTTTCTATTTGCAAATTGATCAACAAATATATTTTATGTTACAAAACAATAGGTATCCAGGCATTCAGAGAAATTGTCATGATTTTTATACTTTTTTATACTTATATGTATTTGGTATTCTGTGTCTTCTATTTCCTTCATGTATTATATAATACACAATGTAAAATATTTTTGCTATCATTGCAAGAAATCACAAATCACTTCTAATTTCATATCATGCTAATTAGCATTGGTATCTAAGGCTCAATTCAAGAAAATCTTATTTCTCTAAAACTGTTTTTTTTTCCCTTTTATAGGGTAAAATTGTCAATTTTTCATAAGACCTTTTCTAAGATTTCCAAAAACATTGAATCATATATAGATGAATAAAATGAAAATTGATGCATGAAAAAAGTTTCATTTTCAAGCTTCATATTAATGCATTTTAAATTAAATATTGATTTTTGGAGTTATCCTTCCTTGCTGAGGATCAGATATCCTTAACTGATAGAAACAAACCATTCCAAAACAGAAAAAATCCTTCCCCTGTTTCACTTCTGTCTGACACAAAAGAAACCCGAATTTTCTTCCCCCTGGTTAATATAGGTATTTTATTGAACTGACCACATCTTTTTAGTGGCGTGTAGCAGCATGGATCAGTCTCTGTTATCTAAAATGATTTCAACAACAGAAATTTATTTATGTCGTCCGTAAAATAGGCCTATTTTTTCATTAAAATATTTTCATTTAAAAAGTGTTCAATATAAAACACCTGTAGAAAGTCGTTACATTGGTTTGTCTGCGATATTTTGATATCCATGAAGGTAATGAAGAAATAAACGTATGCTAAGTATCCTGTTTTAATCATCCAGGTATAATTAGCATTGTTTGGATATATTGACGGGTATCCAGGAGACACTATATATCCATCTCGGTTGTCTTCAGTGGCTTCTAACAATGTGAATTCAAATTTTCCACAAGCTAAATTAAAGATTAAAGTTATAAAATTTTAAAATTTTAAAGTTGAAAATTATTTTAAACATTTAAACATTTTTCTTAAAATCTGCTTTATAAGAAATCACTTACCGAATGGAGTGAATGTCAGTATTAAATAGGAATACATTTTTTTTGAAAAAAAAATGCCAAAAATCCATCACCCGCAACAGGAAGAAAACGGACTTAAAACTAATTTTAAAAAGGAAACAATTTTGTTTTTGGGAAGTTTTGTGGGAAGTTTTTACTTGGTCTTTTAATTATGTTAAATTTATTCGAAATTATAAGAGTTATTGACATTTCATCGAAAGATCTTTCATTTTTTAAATTCCCGAGTGTTTTAAAAAAAATGTATCATCCCAGATAGTAGCACATCGTTGGTCCAATCTTACCATTATGGTTGTATTATTGCTGTTGGGTTACCTTTATTGGACCAACGGTGGTCCAACATGGAATACTGATAGTAGGTGATGGATCATGGGGCCAATGTTGGGCTAACTGTTGGCATTATATAAAACTGATGTTATGAATGAGAATATTTGTTGGGGATTGGCATCAGCCCTAAGTTGGCCCAATACCATGAATCTGGCTGAGTGTCATGGGTAGACATCATCCGTGCAACTTATAATATCCGCGTCATTTTTCATATGACACGAGCGTAATGAGACCGATATCTTGCACATCTGCATCCAGTCATCTTCGCTAGCCAAGGGTTTCTGATACGCTACTCTCCTCATAATCCCTTAGCATACGGTGTTGATAGAAGTGCATACGGTGTTTTCTCGAGTTCTGATTGGGATTCGGTACACCCGGTCGACCAATCAGCAATTGTTTATTTTTTTTTTGTAAATGACAATATTTGCGTTCGGGATACTTCTTTCAACTCTTAATCTCGGGAATGAAAATCGCAAGTAAACAACGATCCGTATAAGATAATGCGCAATTCTATGAACAGCTATGGTGCCCATCCAATATCTTCTAAATACATTGTATGTGATTAAAGATCTATATTGAAGTTCAGATTTGTACTATAAATAATAAATAAGCATAACTTAATTATTGTTTCTTAATTAGTCTTGAAAAAAACTTTGATTTAATTTTTATTAAACAACGCGTTTTTATTTCTGTCGATGACGCAATCTGTGCGTACCTGATAGATTTGAGATCACGTGACGAAAACAATCCCGTCTTTTGACTTTACCCTGAGCCAAGGGTTCATGAGGAGAGTAGCGTATCAGAAATCCTTGGCTAGCGAAGATGGCATCCAGTATGTAAGTATTTATAATATGTTTGCTTTGTTGTAGGTCAACAATGTCGATCACATGGTCAAACATGTTGAAAATGTTGAAGTAAAAACAAAACTTATTCAAAACCGAAACACAAATCAGTTACTTTTATTTAAAAGTTGTCCATTGTATCGACAAATTTACGTTGTATAAATGTTTTGGTTTCGTAATGATGATCAATCGATTGGTTTGAGCGATAATGCAAATCATCACGCTAGCCAATTACGTAATCACATAATGAAACCAATTACTGGTAATTAGACAGTTAATTAGACAGTTATCCCCTAATTGACCATGTTGACAGCTTAATCATATGGTGATATACTTGTAAATTTAATCGTATGTTTACTCTTTACTCAGAAACAAATGTACAATAAAGCGCATTGAAGTGGTAAAATTTTCCGTTTGAATGAAACGTTCTGAGTCCTGTTTTGAACGTGAATTACAACATAATGACACGGCAATATTTTTAGAAATGAGAAAGAAATACTCGTCGTAATGTTTTAGGACATCCCATTCTTTGCGACAAGCAATATGAGTTACACTGAACTGGAGCTTTAAAAAAATTAGAGGATCGAGAGAGTTAGAGACTTCCGCTTCTGTGAAACACAAATTGCAACGAATATGTACATATTTTTGAACTTATCATGTCTATTGAAGTTACCACAACACATGTTTCGGTCGAACACGTGTTTACTCGGTATTTATTCAAACCGTCAATTTCATTGGCTATTATATTTATGGAAAACCTGTTCTACGGGTATTCGAATATACAAATTGGCCGTTTTATCCATTTCTAATGAAATGGGCGTGTCATAAGGTGACAATTAACCTTCTTAAATAGCTCAAAACGTTCCATTCGAATGGAAAATTTTACCACTACAATGCGCTTCATTGTATTTAAGTATGAAATAAAATACTACAATTTTAGAGAGTTTTAAAACAAAAACCCGAGCTGCTGGAGATTCTGCAAACAAAGACATTGAGAACACTATCAAAATGGCTTAGGTATTCCAAGGACAGGGATGGGGAAGGAAGAAACGAACAAAGAAGAAAAGAAGGGAGGAGGAGGAGATTCGGGGGATCAGTTGGAAAGTGACAGTGTCTAACTTTTTTTCTTCTGTTAAATACTGCTATACTGCGGCATACCCGCAGTTCTACCCTTTGTGTGTCTGTTTGTCGGTAACAAACACGTTGTAGATTCTAAAAACATTATTTTGTTTAAGTAAGCTATATGACGGGATGCATTTTAGCATTGTATTTAGTACCGGACGGCATTTTAAACGTTCTAATGAATACCTGCAATTTACTAACTTGTGTATTCAAATCAAAGAGGGAGTAAACATGTAAGCGAACATATATCGCTACATATGAACTAACTTTTTGTTCTTTATAAATGTTTTCTTCATCAACCGAACAATAAAATATGTAAGAATTTAATTCATTTTTTTTTTCTTCTTCTTTTTTTTCTCGTGTTTTTCCTTCGCATTAATGTAAAGCTACTTACAATGCATTGCTTGTTGATAATAATGAGATATTGTGAATACATGTATGTATTAATCTAGCACATATGGTATTAAACGCTTTTAGAAGTAATATTTACTATATAAAACTAGTCTAACCTTATTAAGTTATTATATATAGTTTGCTGTTTCAATTTTAAGGACAAATGGCCAACCAGTAAAGAGCAATGAGTTGTCCTGATGGAGAGCCAATAATTGCGCAATAAATATACACTTTTTTCAATGGGTGGCACTGTAGCTCTCCGGTCTATCAATATATTTTTTTCGGAGAGCTACAGATCTGTAGCTAAATATTTTGGTGAAGAATTGGAAAAATTTTCGGTAGCATTTGGGTTTGACTTTTCCTTTAGAGAATTTTCTTCAGCTGCTATGAAGTCTTTCGAGCTTTTGCTCTTGTAGTCTGAACTGCAATAGCTTTCAAGATCTAATATTTTGTTATTATTGTGAGAAATCGCATAAGCATGCCTGCGATATCCAGAATAATTCAAAAAAGTAAACGCAGTTCCACCTGCAAAGACCATACTGGAGAGGAACGAGAAAAACGGAAGAAGAACGGAAAATACAGGCTTATGAAACTGTAGTTGGATAATAGACTCAGATAGTTTAGTAGTTGAGTTGATGAGGAAGATATTTTGACAAGAAAATGACCCATTTCCTTGAATTAAACCAACTAATCCTGGAACAAGACTGTTCATTCCTTAATTCTTGATAGTCTTGATATGCATGTTTTATATGGGGTAGTATGTCATCAGAACGCCACTGCCTAAACTGCAGTGGAATGCTACACGGTACATGTAGAACTGTTTTGAAATCATGCTTGTTCATCCCTTCTGCTTGGCTTAATCCTTGCCAACTTCAGCGTCATCTACATCTTTGGACCTGTTTAGGTTTTACTCTTGAGAATAGAATCTAACAAAAACTTTTGGTCTTTTGATAGAGATTATAAAACTGTATTACCCGTGGCCAGTACATTCTGGCGGCACATTATAGAACTGGTCAGCACTGGAATATTTCCAAGTCAAAGGTTTCTGATCCATTCTACACATAAGTGGACCAACTAAAACCCTCGACTTTGGAAGATGTGCCAAGCGCTCTGCACGATGAAGTGAAAGTTTCGGATCTTTTGTATGAAACCTGAAAAATCTAAGCTCCTTGTCACGGGGCGTTGGCATGATTTAAGGTCCGAGTACCGTGTAAAGGTCTTAATTTGAACTCTTCACTGGTATATGGTGACTTCTTTGTATGAGTGATAAAATTCTCCAACTGGATATAAAACATCATAAAGGAGATCTAGAGATCAAATTAAATGAAAAATAGTGCTAACTCAGTATCTTTTAAGTTTTTATTCCTCATTTCCTAGTATCTTTGAACAGAACAAAGATCACTAAATGAATACATGTATATATTTTTAACAAAAATAATAGCATATTGACCAAGTTATAAAAACAACTAAAGTACTAAATCTTTACAAATGGCATAAATGTTTTGATTACTCTGTTCTACATGAGGTCGCTTCACAAATGGCGTGTCGTACACACCCTCGGGGTATTCCATATAAACACCGTCCCGACTGTCTTCATAAAGAACAGTTTCTGCCTCTTGAGCACTAGAGTAGATAGGAACTGGGTTTAAGTCATTCTCGTTGGATGATATTCTGTCTTTTTCAGTTAACTTAATGGATGCAGCTCTCCTTCAAAAATATGACAGTGGTGAAAACACTTAGAACTATTTTAGAATTTTTCATTTCATTGCACCGATGTTTTTAAAATACCTAATACAGCATCCTTGTTTTGTCAAACATCCCAGGCCAAATAAGAGTCCAACCACTATTACACCACTGACCACGAAAATGTAAACTATAGGGGAAAAAATTATTATAAATATTTTTTCTTGTAAAATTCATTTTCTAGCGGACACAATATCAAATACCTAGAAAAATTCTGTGATTTCTTCGTACTGTTGTTGTTTGCAGCGGGAGTGATACCGTTGTTGATGCTTCCCGTGTTGTCTCCAATTCAGTTGACGTTGTTGTCATCAAAGTTTTCACATCAGTTGTCGTGCCTTGTTGTAACGTCGCTACAACCATTACTTGAACATTACAACTTACTTTGGTACTGCTTTAGCGCCCTAACGAAAGCTTAATTATGTTTAGCCTTAAGGAAGTGAATTGAAAACGAGATCTTAAAATATTTGGCTTTAATATACACTTTAGCAAAAATAACCTTATGCACGCACAGATTTTAAAATGTGGATATACTCATCATGAATGGATTACGTTGTACTTAGTACTAGCGACTTTGCTTGTACCACCTGTGTGAAATATGACAGGTGCAAAATATAGAATTGTTAGGCTGAATGTAGTAAGTGACGATAGTGCAAGGGCGTGTTTATGCTTTTCTACATATAATAAAGCCCTGAATATAGCTTCATCACTTGTATAACATTAAATAATTTCACATGGATGATGATATATGTAAGCAGATTTCCGTTTCTGTACTCAGCTATACACTGTGCATTACGTGGATTTAAAAGTATAAAACAGAAGGGCCATTTTTTTCCAAATTTAATTTTTTGAAATTGTGTCTTTGTACCAAAAACTCTCTTTATAAGTAATATAGAAGAAAATGACCCACACATTTTTGCCCTCATTGATCGAAATATCAAAGCACTCTACAGAGAGGGCAAATAAGACATTTAGCATTAACGTGTCCATTTTTAATAAAAACCATTTGATATATAACAAAAACAGGTGGGATCACTCTTTCTCCATAAATCAGTAAAATATACACTAATACCAGCATTTACAAGTGCCATAATGTGGAAAAAACTCAAACAATCAGAACTCGGAAATTAAAAATTCACTTGTTAATAGGATACAATTTAAAATCACTTAAAGACATTTTTTTATTTTAAAATAAGGAAGGTCCATACTTTTACGGATCCGGTTTTAATTTTACACACCAAATATAAAATTCTGATCATCACTTTTTTATTAAAATATTATATTTTGGGTGATTGAAAATAATTTAATAAGTATATATTTATTAACTATAGTGTCAATTTGATAATTATGCGTTTAATATAAACTATTTATGGAAATTTACACTGTCCATTAGGATTTATTTCCTTTTAGCACATACACAGACACAAAATTCTTAAACTACCATAACTTTTTTTTTTAAATGATTTAAATGAAAAAAAAATAATTCAAAGAATTCAAATCTAGAATTGGGGATTTTGGGGTTGGAAGGACAGGTCTTTTTAAAGAGAATTGGGGGGTTCATAGGGATTTGTAATATAAAATTCCATCGCAAAAGCTCAAAGCATCTTGATAACTCGCGCTAAAATGAAATATTAACCCAAAAACAAAATGTATGAATTTATTACCTTGACCTTAAACCTCCAGACTCCAAAATGGATAGGACAGAATTTATAGTCCACTTTGAAATAATCTCGACAATAGAAAGGTCAAGTGTATATACATTCGTACATCACACGGTACTGGTACATGTATGTCATATGCTTACATTCTATGCTTAAATTTTTCGTACTTATCTGTTTTTGGCTCGTTGTTGTTAAAGGTGAACTTGATGGTATGAAAGATACTGTCAAATTATAAAAGTATATACACGATTATACATTCATCAATTGTTGGAAAAAATATAAGTGAACAATTAATGTGCATTTATTTATTATAAGATTGAACTAAATTATCAGAAAGATTGCTGTTTTAATAGAAACAAACCATTCCAAAACAGTAAAAATCCTTTCCCTGTTTCACTTCTATCTGATACAAAAGACACCCGAATTTTATTTCCTTTGGTTAATATAGAAATGTTATTAAATTGACCACATCTCTTTAGTGGCGTGTGGCAGCATGGATCAATCTCTGTAATCTGAAATAAATTCAACAATTAAATTAAAAAAATATATTTCAAACAGATTTTTTTTAAATTAAATGTTTCGATATAAGATACCTGCAGATAGTCGTCGTTACATTGATTTGTCTGCGAACTTTTGATATCCGTGAAGAAAATGACGAAATAAATGTATGCAAGGTATCCTGGTTTAATTATCCAGGTATAATTAGCATTGTTTGGATAGTTTGCCGGGTATCCAGGAGATGTTAGATTTCTGTCGTGGTTGTCCTCTATGGTTTCGAACAATGTGTACTCAAATTTTCCCCAAGCTTATGCAAAGTAGACAAGGATGATCATGAACAATGAAAACTATTTCTTTTATTTCATTTTAAAGCACGAGAAATCAAATTTTTCTTCATCAATTAAAAAAATATGAAATGTGAAGACAAATTTGTTTTATTATATATATTTATATAAAAAAAAAAGATAAATCACTTACCAGTTGACATACACGTAAATGTCATAAATTTCAAAATTGAATTTGCGTTCATTTTGGACGAAACAATACGCGAAATATCCAGCATCCTATTTGATACATATAACAGGAAGATTGTGAACTTTAGGCTTTCAATGTGAACGAGATAAAACTATTATAAAGGGAAAGGGAAATTTTCACTTGGCCTATAATGTTAAAGAGCATTTAATTGACGATATATTGTAAATGCATTATAAATATTATGTTGCTTTTTATTTGTTTAATTTAACAACCATGAATTCACCACTGACTACGATAAACGGAAGCTTAAGGAAAAATAAAGAACAGCTCTAGAAGTTTTCTTGTACGAGTTAATTTTAACGGACACAATTTCGTCAATACTGTACCTAGAAAATTCCTGTGATCTCGTTCTGTTGTTTGCAGGGTGAATGATACAGTTATTGATGCTCCCCGTGTTGTCTCCAATCCAGTTGACGTTGTTGTCATTGAAGTTTCCATATCTGTTGTCGTGTCTTGTAGTGTTGCTACAACCATTATTTTAACATTTATTTACATCTGGTACTGCTTTTCAAAGCGCCAAAAGGAAAGCTAAATGTTTAACCTTATAGAAATGAATTGAAAATGAGATCTTAAAACATATGGCTTCAATATACCGATACACTTTAACAAAAATAACTTTGTACGCGCACAAATTAAATCTGGATATACCCATCATGAATAGATGAAGCTGTACTGAGTACTTGGACTTTGCATGTACCATCTGTGTGAAATATGACAGGTGCAACTGAATGTAGTAAATGACGATAGTGCAAGGGCATGTTTATGCTTTTGTACATACTCAGTACAATAAGACTCGGAATATAGTTTTATCACTTGTAGAATATTAAATAATTTCACATGATATATGTTAGCAGATTCCCATTTCTTTATTCAGACATACACTGTTAGATACGTGAATTTAAATGTATAAAACAAAAAGGCCATTTTTTCCCAAATTCGTTTTTTTTTTTTTTAATTTTTGAAACATTTTTTGCCCTGATTGATCGAAATATCAGAGCCCTATACAAAGAGTGTGAAATCAGACATTTAGCATGAAAATGTCCATTGTTGATAAAATATTTGATATATAACAAAAACAGAAATCGACTATTTTGCTTCAATAAATCAGTAAAATATACTAATATCAGTATAAATGAACTAATACTATGAGGAAAAAATTAGAAAGAATATAACTAAGAAATTTAATTCTCTTGTAAATACTAAGTATGATAAACATTAAAAGTTTTCTTGAAGAATTTTTTTTAAATTAAGAAAGAAAATCAAGAGAATGATTAAAATGAAGAAAAAAAAAACTAATTCAAAGAAGCTGTGTCTTCCGCTTACGAAAATAAAAGACTGAGAGCAGATCTAGGGGGTTGGGGTGTTGGAGGGTCAGGCCACTTTAAAGGGGGTTGGCGGGTTCATAGGGAGTTATGTTATATAAAAAACTCAGATCCTCCTAAAATATTGCGCTCAAATGAAAATTTTTACTCACAAAAAAAATTACCCAGACTCCAAAACCGACAGGACAGAATTTATAGTTCCATGCAAATTGAAATAAAGCTCGAAAAGTTAGAAAAGTTATTCAAAAGCGTATATTATATGGTATTTGTACGTCATATGCTTACGTTCTATGTTTTTATTTTTCGTACGTATCTGTTTTTTGCTCGTTGCTGTCAAAGGTGAACTTGATCTTATAAAAGACACTGTTCAATTTATAAAAGTAAACAATTATAAAATAATAGGTTTTGAGCAAAAAATATGTGAACAATTATTGTGCATTTATTTATTATAAAAATAAATTAAATTATCGGAAAAACTGCTGTTTTAATAAAAACAAACCATTCCAAAACAGTAAAAAAAAATTTCCCTGTTTTACTTCCATCTGATTCAATAGACACCCTAATTTTATTTCCCTTGGTTAATATAGATATGTTAAATTGATCACATCTCTTTAGTGGCGTGTAGCAGCAAGGATCAATATCTGTAATCTAAAATAAAATAAACAATTAAATTTTATCTCTCAGACAGATTTTTTTTTCAAAATAAAGTGTTCGATATAAGATACCTGCAGGTAGTCCTTACATTGATTTGTCTGCGAACTTTTGATATCATTGAAAACAATGACGAAATGCCAGGTTTCCTGGTTTAAATATCCACGTATAATTAGCATTGTTGGGATAGTTTGCCGGGTATCCAGGGAATGTTAGATGTCTGTCTTGGTTGTCCTCTATGGTTTCTAACAATATGTATTCAAATTTTCCCCAAGCCAAGTAGACAAGGTTTTGAAAGAGGATAACGATAGATGAAGTTATTTATATCATTTTACTTGTAAGCATCATAATGCAAATTTATCTTTACTGATTAAAATGATTAAATGTGAACACACATTTGTTGAATTCTATATATTTATGAAAATAAATAAATCACTTACCGGTTCAATACACGTAAATGACAAAATACATTTTTGGCGAAGCAATGCGCGAAAAAGGAATCTAAAAAGGGAATATTTAACGTTAAGCTTTCAATATGAACGAGATAAAGATATTACGAAGGAAAAGGGAAGTATTCACTTGGCCTATAATGTTGAAATCATTTAATCGAGCTCGCAATTGTTAGGCGTTATAAAGAGAAAGTTTACCGTATACTCGCAGTCTATCAAATGAAAAGAATGAAGATGTTGGAGCTCCAAGATTCACTGATATAGGGAGATTATCTTTGATTCCCAGCTACATAAATTTAACGATTTCTTTATACGAATATAATGAATTGCGGATATAGCGAAGTAATTTCATTAAGCTTTGGACAGACAGTTCATTATTACGTACGCTATAACTCCATCATTCGTAGGGAAAGTATTCCCGGAGAATTGAAACTGTGCAGAGTTTGGTAACTTTATATAACCTTCGTTATACTCATGATTATTCGTAATAAATATTTTGTAAATTTTGTATTTACTAGCCGGGGGATGGGGGTTATGCAAAGTAGTTTCTCGTGTTGTTGCCTTTAGCTTGGTTTGTTTTTTTTTTGTGTCTATATATATATATATATATATATATATATATATATATATATATATATATATATATATATATATATATATATACTAGTATGCTTCTTTCTTCTTTCTTAATTTTAAAAAAGAACCTGACATTGTCAAAATTGAAATATATTTCTTTCTAAAAATATATTTCTTATATGAATAAGAAAGAATGTATATATAAGAATAGAAGAACTGTTGGTTTACTTTAGTCTCCTCCCTTTAAAAAGAAAAAAAAGAATAAAACTATGTTAAAAAGAATCAATGCAAACACTTAGATTACTTCTTTAAATATTCCAATGTATAACGAATGATTTTGAGGTTTATATATATAACTCACACGTCATAGAAATATTAGCGTTTTCATTTATATATTTTTTTTTATCTTCACTGTTATGTTACTTACTGTTTTACTGTACGACTTTGTGCACCATTGAAGTAGGAAAAATGAATATTGCTTACCTTTCTGGTATACCGAGATCTCTCCTTCAAGAAAAAGTGGATCCCGAAACTTTTGTGATCTTCTGACTCAAAAGTTCATTCGTAATCCGAGTCATGGATTTGCGAAAATTATTTAAAACCGTGTTGATGAGTAACAGATCATTCAATCCAGCGTTTATTGAAATGATCGAAGACAAAAAAAAATTTTTGCTATATCTTGATTTATACCTCGATATTCAAGATTATAATAAATATGAACTCTTAAACAATTAAGAGTTACCGATGAATAATTGATAAAAAGAACTTTTCTGGGCCGTAAACTCCATGCACGTAACATCAGAGGGAAGGGGGAGTTTCGGTATCTTTTTGGGCAATTACCTTTCCTCCCTGGGAAAACGACACTATGTACCAGAGCTCAACCATAATTATAAATTTTGTCACAAAAGAAAAAGAATCATATGCGATGAAGTAATGTAATTTCAACAGTTTTGTTTGAAAATTTCAGCATCAAATTGCTCTTAAGTGTTCATTGAAAACAGCAACTGATAAATTTCATGCAGAAAATGGAATAAACATTTTAAAATATAGTCCATCATGATCACTGTATCAGTTAAACTATTTAAACCAAAATGTAAACTTCAGAAAAAGATGTTTCAAAATATTGTCCATCCTGTACCATATATCTAGATAGAGATTTATCCGATTATTGAAATGAAAATGAAAACTGCTAAAAATAGATGTTTCGATACCTTTCAAACTGTTACCTGTTTGCATTGTTGATGTGGTTGTTCCTGCATCTATTGTATTACCTTGCAGAATTGTTGCTACAAAAATGTATTACAAAACAATTTTTTAAAAAAATCAAAAGGAGGTGTACAAATTTATATTTTGAGAAAAGGGAACTTTCGCGATTAATGATCTTGGTGTCACATTTAAATGTAAAGTGTATTCTCCACAGCCGTCTGCGTCGCGCAGTGGTTTGAGCCTCTGCTCTATACTCGCGAAGTAAGGAGTTGATCTTTACGTCACGGGCTCGAATCCTACCGTGGGATGTGAAGACTGGTCCTTATAAACCGAGGTCCTGCATGTCGCAGTAGGTGCTGGCACGACAAAGATCTCTCACTGCTCAATGGCCATAAGTGTCGACTATAGTAAAAAAAAATGTAGCTCTCCATCAATAAGTGATGGCGTATAAAAATCGACACTAAGAAAGTATCCTTTGCAATGCGTGAAGTATAGATAACAGTTTTGTTGAATATTTTAGCATCACTTTTTAGAATAATCATTAGGAGCCAACGTTTCAAAAAATAGTCCATCATTGAAACATTTTAAGAAAATTGCAATAGCGTCATATTTGTACCATATATCAAGTGTCAATCTCCAAGGTCAAGAGGTCAATTTTTGTGGTATCCAAAGAAAGGTCTTGTCACAATGAATGCACCTGTGAAATAAAAAAGCCCTAGTCTCACCCAGTCAAAAAGTTATGGTCAAAGTTTTTGCGGAGAAACATACGGAAGGACGGACAGTGCAAAACTATATAGAATTTCCATTTAGGGGGCATATAAATAGAAATAATACCATTCCAAAACATTGAAAACCCCTTCGCTGTATATCTGTCATCGGATATGAAGGAAATCCATATCAAACGTCCCCTTGCAGTTCTTTTTATATTGTTTTCTTTGCCACATCTGCGCAGGAGAGTGTGACAGCATGGTTCTACTTCCTTAATCTAAAATATTTTCATTTAAAATCAAAATAATTTCCAATAAACACGGACTGGAAAAAACATAAGAGAGGTTTAGTTACACGTTATGCAAGGAACTTGTACGGGTGACATCATCAATTGCTTGTTTATCGACATCATGACGTCAAATCCGACATGTAGCACTGTCACTGCCTACATATACGACATTAAAGGAGTAAAATTACCGCGTAAATTCCTTATTTCATGATTCAGTTGATTGGTTTTTGAAAGCTTTAAAAGAAGAACAGAGTATCTAAAATTTTTGATGAA